TAAAAAACATAACCTTTAAAGGTCTTTTTATATTTATTTTTAGGGCTTTTTTCTCTTTAAAAATATCATTGTAAAATATTTTGCTATGCAATAGACAGTGGCCATTTTAGAAGACAGTTTCTAAAGGTCTTGAAAAGGCCCTTTGTCAGAGTCTTTGGCTACTTAGATAAATGTTAAGGAACCAATTTGCCAATAAGATATTGATTAGACAGAAGTTTGTTGGAAGCCTGGAAGATTGTTCACAAAAAGAAAAATATTAAGGAACTGAGGGGTTTTAGTACAGAAAAAAAATATTCCAAATACATTTGCAAATGCCTAGAGACAAGTGCATGGCTTGGTGAAGCACAGATTCTGTTCACAACACATTAAATGTGAAACATCACTTTCCTTTAAGCGATGTTGAAGGAAAACATGGCTGGCTCTTGGCAACAATATGATTTCTTTGGTCCCCTCAAATTTGCCCTTGGGGATGCCAGTTAGCTCAGTCAGAGTGCAGCCTTATACCACCATGGTCACGGGTTCTACTGGCCAGCCAGCAAATTTATACATATATATATACACACAGAGAAAGAGCATATAATACATTCTCCCTCATCCATCCATCTTCCCTTTCAGACAGGTGGTGCACTCCTGATTTCTAATCTCTTCCTCCCTATTTAACAGGAAGAGATTGTTGCTTGATTAATATTTTGTTGTCAGTGAATTTTGGTTAATGTTTTCTCCCAAATTCTTTAATTTTAAATCATTTCCTTCTGATTGTTGATTGAAAGGCCTCATTTCCTGACAAAGACCGGTAAGGGGATCGCAACCCTCCGCACGGTGTGGTCCGCACTACGCTCAACCAGTGAGTGCACCGGCCATCCCTATATAGGATCTGAAACCCATGGCCTTGGTGCTACAAGCACCGCACTCTCCCGAGTGAGCCACAGGGCCGGCCCCTGACAAAAGAATTTTATACAGCTGTGGGTACCTTTCTTCCAAAGAACTTTTGATTACATGGTCTTACCCTAATGAACTCCCTTTATTAGAAGTTAAATATGACAAATACAGTTCATCCTGTTTTTGAGATGATGGGCTAAAAAATAGGGTAAGTAAAGATAAAGATAGGGGATGATTAGAGTTTCACATCAGATAAAATTATGAGCCACTGTTTCCCAAACTCTACTGTGCATTAAAATCACCTGTAAAACTTTTAAAACTGATAACCCAATTCACATACATACCCACAATTAAATCAGAATATCTAGGAGTGGTAGCCGGGCTTCAGTGTTTTTTTAAAGATCTCCAGATTATTCCAGTGTTTGGGAACTAATTGTTGAAAGCAATTAGTTAAACCTCATTTTCCTTCTTTCTATCTAGTATTGATAGGCTGGCTTCTTGAACCTAGGTAGATTGTATAGATATGATCATATTCTTAAATTTCACCAGTTGTATAAGAGCTACAAAGATCTGGTTGGCCTGACTTGCAGGAGACCTATTCCATATTCTTTTAACCATGGTTAGTTACAGCAGTAGCAGGTCTAAAATACATTTGTAGGTCTGAAATACAACAGTCCTTAGATGTCCTAAGACTAAGTACTATGGGAAGCAGAAAACAAGAAGGGTAGACTATATATTGCACCCACTCCAGGAAATATAAGACCAGTAACAAAGGCCTGTAGCTCAGCAATTCACTTTTGATGTTCATACAAGCTTTGGATATCTTATTACTTCATGGAGAACCACAGTATTTAAACATTTTCAGTTTGTAAGAACTTTAATAAACCATTATAATAAAAATAATGTCTCTTTGCATTTTGGTAGCACTTTGTACTTCTCAAAACGCTTCTATATATTTATTTAATTATTTTACCTTGTTTGTACTCAAAGTAATTTGTCTAACTCTCATTTACTCATTCATTCAATAAATACTTATTGCATGTGCTAGGGACTAGCATATAATGATGTACAAAGCACAGTCCCTGGCCTTCTGAGCTTAAAATCAGAAATTAGTCATAGCCACAACTTAGAAGATTAGACTCCTAATTTCCACTCTGAATAAAAATAATGACATCACCAATAGGATTGCCATAACAAACATTTACTATGTTGAGTACTTACATAGTTTAGCACTTCCATCAGCGTTTGAACCCAAGTAGCCTGGCTCAACTGCTCCGTATGTATTACAAAAGATTTATATCTATCTCAAATACAGTGATCCTCAGAAGTCTTTTTTTTCAAATGTCTCTATGCTTTAAATATTACAGTTTTTCTGTAAGTTTATCAAACTTTCTTTGTGTTGTAGATACCCCACAGACAAGTGTTACTCATGTAACCCAGTTAGAGAGAGATACCATCCTTGTATGCCTGGACTGTAAGTTTTTATTTATGAATATCTTATTTTAATAAGATTTTGTTAATCTTAGTTGCTAGTGACTTTTTTTTTTCTCTAGGTTGTATAAAAATAGTAAATCTCCAAGGAAGATTAAAATCTAGCAGAAAATTATCATCAGAACTCACCTTTGATTTCCAGATTGAATCAATAGGTAAGTCAAAATTTTGTATTTCTTTGCATCATGAACTGCTTAAATAACTTATCTGATAATTATCTGAAATCATAAATATATATTAAAGACTTTAAAATATAGGATATAATGAATATGAATATACTTCACCCTTCATTGTTACACATTCTCTAAAAGAATAGTTTAATAACTGTAATGTAAATAGAGTTATCTTTCTTACAGATTTGGCATTCCCAAAAGAAATAATTAAATATCATTTCTCATACTTAGGAAGTCCCATATACTGTAGACTCCTAGAGAGTTTCTCTATAAGTACTTTAAAATATTTATACTCTTAGTACACCCTATTGTATTTTTGCTGTTGTATCTGCTGATCAGAGAATTTTAAGTACATGGAATTTCCTTCTTGCCATTCTCACATTTTGCTTACAAGGTGTTTTTTCTAGAAAAGGATTTCTGACAAAATTAGTATTCTAAAATGATTACAGTCTGGAAAATAAAGTGAAAATGATCATATATAGGATGGTGCTAGGAAAATGAATGACAATGTACTATCTAACCCTACACAATTTTCCTGGTGTTCTTTATCAGTAAAATAAAGACATTTTCATATATATATGTTAGCAGAGGGTAAGGCCAAGGGCAGATAGTTTATTTGTCTTATTCCTGCCTCTATTTTCCTCTTTTTGCCAACTAGATTGCCACTTCCCCAACAAACAAATGATGATGATAATAATACATTGGTTTTGAGGGACATCTGCTCAAGATGCTACAATGGAATCCATGCTTAAACAGACAAAGCTAGGTTTGGGCTGGCCAGGTAGCTCAGTTGGTTAGAGCATGGTGCTGATAACAACAGGGTTCAGGGTTTGATCCCTGCACCAGCCAGCCACCCAAAAAAAATAAATAAAGACATAGTCATGGTCAAAAAAGAAGATCAACAGCAGAAACTCAAAACAATATGTATGCCTGAAGCCAGTGGGCCTGCTGGGCCCAGGTGAAGAAGTAGACCACAGCTGGGTTCCTGGGTGATAAAGAAAACTAAAAGTATCCCATGGGAGATGGGAAACCACAGCCAGGCTCATTGCTTGAGGTGCCTGGTAATCTAGCATGGTGGTTTTTTTTTTTTTTTTTCCTTTTTGTCTTTTTTCGTGACCGGCAACAGATCGCAACCCTCAGTGTCGCACCCGTACCGGACCGGGACCAGCAACGGGATCGCAACCCTCGGTGTTGCGCCCGCACCTCGCTCAGCCAGTGAGCGGCCGGTCTGTATGTGGGGTCCGAACCCTCGGTGGGAGCACCGCCACACTCCCAAGCTGCACACTGTAGCAGTGCGCCACCGGGCCGGCCCTAGCATGGTGGTTTTATAGGTGATTTTTAACCACCCTTAGAAGATGAGATGATCCCTATCCAACACAAGCTGTTTTAGATTGTAGACAATGAAAGAATTCTGAACAAATCAGTGTTTAACACTGATGCTAAAATCAAACAAGGTTAGTATTGAAGAACAAAAATTATAATCTAATCTTATGAAAATAGATTTTTAAAAATCTAAATAAAATACTAGCAAATAGAATTCCACATTGTCAAATAATAGACTTAATCCCAGGAAAGCAAGGATGGTTCAGCATCAGAAAATGTATTTATATGATACACCACACCAAAGATTAAGAGAAAAGTCATGTAATTCTTCAATAGATACACAAAAACATTTAGTAAAATCTAAGTCATTGATGATTTTTTTTAACAATACTTCTTAGCAAATTAGGAATAGAAAGAAATGTCCTTTACCTAGCAAAGCCTATTAGAAATATCTTCATTAAAGTAAAGATCAAGATAAAGATGCTTGCACACTTCAACATTGTCTTAGACAAGAAAAGGGAAGTGTGAGGATTAGAAAGAAAAAGGTAAAAAGATGCCTTTTACTGATGGTATATTACATAGGATATAAAACTCTATAAATTACTATAACTAATAAGTCAGAGTTACTAGATATGACTAACACAAATTAGCAGCTTTCCTAAGTAATCAGTGAAATTTTTAATAATTTTAATCAGTGAGACAGAAGAGAGGGCCCAGAAATAGACAGTTATGTAAGTGGAAATTTATGGCATTATGTATCAGTGGGGAAATGATGGACTATTCAACCAGTGATGCTTCTACAATTGGTTATGTGCAGGAAATAAAATTAGATTTCTTCCTCACTGAATACATGCACAAATATATACTAAACGTGTAAATATAAAAACAAAACTAACATTTGCTTTATTTATGCATATCCCCTGTGTCCTAGTAATTCTACATCTAGGTGTCTACCCCAAAGAAAGTTTTGTATATGTATTCGGGAAGATATACAAGACTGTTTATTGCAGTATTATTTGTAATAATGAAAAACTAAAATAACATAAATGTTCATCATACCAAATGTATGAAAGTTGGAAACATTCAATATAATGTTTATATTGATAATGTAAACTTACAGTGTAGTAATAGTAAAAACACGCATGAGAACAACAGATACCAAATTTATAATAGTGGTTATCTTTGGATATCTTTCCTTCCTTTTGAAGGAAAGGCCATAATAGGATTAAGGTAGGAGTATGTAGGTGATGCCAGCTGCCTTTATTTTTATTTAAAACAAAAAGCAAATATTTCAGAATATTAGGATTTGATAGTTGAGTGGTGGATACATGTGTCTTTTTATGCTATTTTCTATGTTTTTTAATATGTTTGCACTATTTTATTTTAAAAATTAATTCATTTTAGTACAGCAAATTTCTATAGCAAAAAAATATTTTTAGTGAATTTTCTTTTTTTCTTACCAAAAGATGAATAAGCTCTGTATAGGATATTTTTGAAACTCCAAAATATAAGATGCCATATAAATATGGAGTAGCCAATGTTAATTATTAATTGAAATATTGCTATATGAGATAGAAAGAGGGATGAAATGATGCTTATCAGTTGAACTTTTGTACTATTAACAGTAATTGAGCTGTTCTTGCCTGCTAGTTTGCCTGCAAGACAGCGTGCTAGCTTTCTGGAAACATGGAATGCAAGGTCGAAGTTTTAGATCTAATGAGGTAAGTAATCTTTTTAAAATTATGTCCATTAAATGGTCACAAGACATTATCAAATTCTACTTCAAATAATTCTCTTTAACTTGGGAAATTCCTAAACAATACAAATAATACTTACTATATTCAACTATATTCAGTCCAGTGATAAAATCAATAGCACATACTTTATAATCACCTCTTTCTCCATTACTCAAACAACTTTAAGTGCATATTTAATGTGCTCCCAGATAATCAACCTCAAATTCAAAATAAAAACTTTCTAATACTGCTAAAAGTGAGTCAACTGTGCTTTTCTTTCAACTTTCCCAGACCGTCACTTGAGATAATAGTGCTAATACTGGCTCTCTATGTCTTGAGGCACCTTTTCTTCTACCTTGTATTTCAGAAATAATGACCAGTGCAGGCTATAAGTAAAGGGTTCTACATTTCTCTTGAAGCCAGCTTGCCTCCTCTTTCTGTTATCCTTATTTATTGAACATTTAAAAGAATCTTTGACCCTTTTTCCTTCCTTTTGTATTAACCTTTAGCTGCATCTCATGTGTCCTTCCTACCTTACGGGAATAATTTAATTCCAAACCATGTGACATATTCAATTTAGTTCAACATTTATGCCAGAAAGTGCTGGGGTTATAAACATGAGCAAGACACAGTACTTACCACCTAGAATGTTATAGGCCAGTAAAATTATCAAAAATTGTTTCAGTACCCTCGAGCCAGTCTCAGTGCTATAACTTCTGCTTGATCTTTGGAAGGAAGGGAGAACCTCAGGTGCTTCAAGCAAGAAAATAGCTCATTTGTGTCCTAAAGTGTCATTCATTAAGCTCACAGCATTTCTTCGAACAAAGTATGCAGTATAACATAGTGATCATGAGCAAGGGTTCTGAGTCAAGACACCTAGGTTCAAGTCTCATCTGCTATTTAGTAGCTGTGTGACCTTGGCATGTCACCTAACTTCTCTCTACGTATACTTTTTCATCTGTGAATTGAGAGTTGTTAAGATTAAATGAAATGAAGCATGTAATGTGCTTGGCATTGTGCTGTTCTGTACTAAGTGTTGAAGAAAGGTCACTGCTAGTATATTTCTAGCAGTAAATCCCACAAGAGAGCTCACTTCTCAGGAACGTGTTCTCAAATCACCTGAGGGATGAAGCAGGGAGATAAGAACAGTCAACAGCTATTAAACACTAGTCAGAGAAAGAAAGGCATCATAGGCAAGACAGAATGGGCTTTTTTAAGAAAAAGAAGAAAGAAAAGTTTGCCCAAAAAATTGGCTGAGGGAATTTTTTAAACTGCACAGGCAGCCCTTCAATATAACACCTCCAAGAATGGTACATCCTTCTAGCAGGCAAACCCCAAAATGTATTGGGAATCACAGTCATGATGAGTCGCTATTACTGAAGTGAGCATGTTTCCTTCAGATGTGCTGGGTTACAGCAGAAGTTAGTCACTTGTGTGTTCAGAAAAACTGTGTAGGGGTATTGCTGGAATAAATTTAGTTTCACAATGAAATTATTTTTTCAGCCTACTAAATGCTAGGGAGAAGTTACTGCCTTTATTGTTTGTAATAATTTGTGTTTGGTAAGCTGTGAACAGTGGGTTTTTCTTTCTCCTGTAGTGGGTTTTTCTTTCTCTGACTAGTATTTACTAGTTACTTCTTAACTCTCCAACTGGTAATTGGTCACACTGAGGACTTCTTGGAGGATATATGTCATCAGAAAATATTATTTCAAGAGAATGGGAAAGAAATCAGAAAAATAATTATTATGTATTGAGCACTTGCTTAGCTAGGCATTATACCTACTAATACTTATAAAAACACCGCAAGGTAGGTCTTTTCTATCCTATTTTGCAAAAGACAAAACCATTTCCAGCAGGTTACATACCTTGCCCAGTGACACAGCTAGGAAATGGGAAAACAAGTCATGTCTGGCTTTTAAATATTTCCTATCATACCACGTGGCAGCCTTTTAAGTAAAAGAACCAGATCTAAGTGGCTTACTGCTGCTGTTAGCATTATGCTAGTGCTGTTATTAGTATTAACATAAATGATGAAAGATTTCTGATAAATAAAATGGACTTAGTGCTTTGCTTTTTAGTTTTTCCCTTGAAGTCTATAATGTAAAAGTAAATAATTTTCTTTCACCCGTGTTTTATGAGTAATGTTAAGTCAACCAGCCACATTTTCCCTAGACTAATAAATTGGTGCATCTCCCTGCTGACTTAACAAATAAATATTGATGCAGGGATGTATTTTCATCTTAGGAATTATGTTTCTTTTCTGTAGAATGATAATGAAATGTCCATGTAAAATTTTGTCTTTAATTTCAGAAATTAAATTTGTATTTTAATTGAACAGGTAACACAAGAAATTTCAGATAGCACAAGAATTTTCAGGCTACTTGGATCTGACAGGTATGAAAATGGGTTCTATTAAATATGTAGTACTAAACGTGTTTTATAAATCCAGCATGACACTGGTTTCTTTTTCAAGAGAATTAAAATTTCTTCAGTAATATTTTCAATATTGTATTTTTCACACTAGAAGAATTCACAAAGTCAAAAAGTTATAAAGCCTTTGAAAATGTACCCAATCTTCCAAGTGACAGATCTGTCAATACTATTTTGTAGTAAACATACTATATAAAGTCTGATTTATAGCAGAAGAAAGAGGAAATATCATGTTAACAAACAGAACTTTTTGGTTTTAGTGCCAAATAGGATTTTGTAGTTCTGTTCTGATTCTTGAATTGTTTTTAGAATTTATAATAAGAATTAAGTCCCCCCAAATTATTCCTAACATAGGTTTCTCCCCATTCTGACTCTTAGAAGAACACTGGTGTGGATGGGGGGGAGGCCGTGGACAACAAAATTACTTCCCAGAGTTGGAACTGGCCTTTCCCCCCCCCCCAACCGGTAAGGGGATCGCAACCCTCAGCACAGTGTTTGTTGTCAGCACCACGCTCAGCCAGTGAGCGCACCGGCCATCCCTATATAGCATCCGAACCCACAGCCTCGGCGCTGCCAGCACTGCACTCTCCTGAGTGAGCCACGGGGCTGGCCCAAAACTGGCCTTTGAAGTCATATTGATAGCAAATTATTTCTGCCCACAAATCAAATGAGCAGCATGTATACAGGCTTATAATGGAGAAGCAATGGAAAGTTTTTCTGTTTAAAAGAATAACTTTGTTTTGTTACATGTTTTTTGTTTGTTGCTCTTAGGGTCGTGGTTTTGGAAAGTAGGCCAACTGATAACCCCACAGCAAATAGCAATTTATACATCCTGGCGGGTCATGAAAACAGTTACTGAGAAATGCTGTGCTTTGACAGTTAACTGTAGAAAAAAAGAACACTACCACTGCAACATTAACGGATGCTTGAAGCTGTACAAAAGCTGCAGTAACCTGACTTCAGTTACTTTGTAATTTATTGTGGCATGAGACAAGATGGGGAATTTTTTTGTTTTAAGTGGTATGGATATATTTAGCATATTGAACCACACAAGTGCTGAATTCATTGTTATGTAATCTTTGTACATATAGGCAGTATTTTTCTGTGGAACTTCATATTGCTGAAGACATACACTAAGAATTTATGTAGATAATGTACTTTTATGAGATGTACAAGTAAGTGTCTTATCTGTACAAATGTAAATGATGATGAAAATGCAATTGGGGTTAATATTTTAAGAATTCTTTAGTATATTCTTGGGTGTGGTTATATTACAAAATGGGATGCTGGCAATGAAACAGTACATTTAACACTATTGTATTTTTATTATATGTAATTTAGTAATATGAATATAAATCTTGTAACTTTTAAAATTGTAATGGAGGCTGTAATCATTTTATAATCTTGTTTTTAATTTTAATGCAAGTACACTGGTGTTGATATTTGCACAAAGTATTGATATGTGATGTATTAAGTCACAAAAGTAAGCTGTGACATTGTCAATATGCATTTGGCTCCACAACATCTTTTTAAAATATATTTGGATTGTTTTCTATGTGAAACAAACCTATTAATAACCACCTGTTGTAGTAACTGGTCTTTTTATATTTAAGAAGAATCCTGTAAGATTGCTTGTCTGTGCTTAAAAACAGTACCTTTGAAAAAATTTTGAATCACAGAATAGCGGTACCATGATGTAATACTGCAATTGTCTGAAATACAGTATGCACAAAGAATAAATTAGCATTATTAAAGAGTCCACACTAAACATTTCATATAATCACATTGAGGAACTATAACATTCCGTAGAGTGAGTGAAGTGGTTCAGATTTCTCATGGAATTTTTACTTTTGTTGGCCTTATTTTATGATCATTGTCATATTGCTTTAGAGTATTAACACATGGCCAAAATAATTTAGTTACTACCTCATACAAACAATATAATGGTTACTACACATCACAGGAACTTAGTTTTGGTTGAAGTCATTTTTGATTGCTTTTTTTCAGTGAATATGTATATACCAAGTTTTAGCAAAATGCACACTTTTGGCTCTTTTGGGTATATGTTCTTTATATTTTAATGTGAGTATATACACTAAGAACAAACTAAATTGTGATTTATGGTCTTCATTTATTTTAATTGATAATGGTTTTAAATATGTTCCTGATTGTACATAGTGTAAAATAAACATGTTTTTTTAACATGCTGCTGTATAGTAGCTTGTCATGTAGTTTAATCTGTATACAGTAACAGATATATTAAGTATATAGTAAGTATATAGTAAGATACATTAAGGGTGAAAACTATTTAATTGTTTTGCACTTAAATTCTTAAATACCCAATTCTGGTCCATCAAATCATGATTTTTATTTGATCTGTGATCTCGATTTCATGAAGCAGTAATATTCTCACATTTGAGAAAAGGGCGTCTTCTGTAGCTCTTGATCAGGAAACTCAAACATTCATAGTTTTTTTGGTTAGGGCAGGGCAAACTACAGCCCTCAGCCCAATCCAACCCACCACATGTTTTTGTAAATAACGTTTTATTGGAACACAGCACCACATATTCATTTACATGTTGTCTGTGACTGCTTTTGCACTATAATGTTAAGAGTTGAGTGGTTTCCAAAAAACTGTTTGGCCCACAAGGCCTAAAATATTTACTGTCTGACTCTTTACAGAAAAAATGTGCTGATAACCTAGGTTAGTGAAAGGAAGGGCAAGTGTTGGGGAATGCAATTCTGGAGGTAAGAAAGGGAAGATTAAATGGGAAGAACTGGGTTGGGGGTTAAGAGGTATCATCTCTAATATTACTTATGCTGCTACCTGTCATTGTAAACTTGGATAATTTAATTTACCTCTAGCACAGTTTTCTATATCTAAAATCGTACACATGCTAATAATCATAGCAATTGTATACATTTATCACTTTTCCCAAACACATTGTGAATAATCTTAGCATTAATGACTTACTAATGACTGTCTTAAAACATCTTTACCAGTATAACACTATCATCAATTTGCTGAAAAACAGAGACCCGTAGAAATGATTTTCAAGAAATCAAGATTCTGTTCTTGGCATTTATTGAGAAAGTTATTGATACTTTGTTTGAACCACTGTTTCTTCCAGTTTCCAAGACCTATAAGTTCTATGAAGTATCATGTCTCAAAAAATGTTAATTGTGCTGGCCATTTAGCTTACTTGATTAGAGTGTGGGGCTGATAACACCAAGGTCAAGAGTCAGATGCCCTTACCAGCTAGCTGCCAAAAAATCATCACATTTAACTCTCAAGCACTTAGAAATATTTTCAAAAAAATATACAGCTGGTTGTGTGTTACCCATGGACTTTTAAAAAATATCCCTTGATTTATAATCTTTGGATGTGAGGCCCAGTAACCTATATTTTTATAAAGTTGTTCAAGTGATTCTGATGTGCAGCCTGATGTGAGAACCACTGGTGGACATTAAATTTAAATCAGTGTTTCTGAGTGTGGTCCAAAGATCACCTGCCTCAGAAAAATTCATCTTTGATGACAGTTAAAAATGCAGATTTCAAGGCTCCACCCAAGAACTTTCAATTATGAATCTTTATGCTCTCAAAAGGAAGAAAGCCACTCACTTAAATGTTGGAAATAGTTTTCACCATTATTGGCAGAGAAATGAAAGTATGTGCTGTACAAAATAATGGGTAAACACTAAGAATATCACTTGAGAGTACATAAGTGCCCAGTGCACGCATCTATCTATGTGCCATGTACTCTTCTACATGCTTTACAGAGGCCCCGAACAGCCCAGCGAGGTAGGTATTGTTAACTCCATTTTACAGATGAAGAAACTGTGGCACAGAAAGATTAAATAACTTGCCCAGGACTATAGCTGGTAAGCAGTAGAACTAAGATTTGAACCTGACACTTGGTTCAAAGTGTATTCTCTTAAATACTATGCTGTGTAATAACATGTAATACATGCATTGTATTCACTACCTACTAAAATATTCTAGCATTTTTCCCTCTGAAATTTGATTTTTTTTCCTCCAGGAGTTGGATTTCAAGTTCTGATTTTCAGTCTCTGCAAAAAAAGAAATTAACTTCCTGTTTTAATTATTTGCTTTACTGGAAAGTATTTTCCTTATTCAGTGTTTTGTATAAGGATAAAATAATTTATATAAAATTAACTTTACAGTTAAAGCTTATTAAATAAGTCTAGTCAAGTCATTACATCAAAGATTTTTTTTTTTAACTTTTGTGAGACAGACTTAACCAACCTATATATAATCATTTACAGTGTATCCAGGCACTTTACTGGAACTGGAGAAAAGATGGAAAAGGCATAATTCCCAGCCATTATTCATCCAAGAAGCACACTTGGACAAGTAAAAGTGAACAGCAGTTAGTAGTATTAAGAGGAGGTACAAAAGGCTGTGCCTAATTCTGCTTTGGGAAAAGGAAAGACTGTGTAGAAAGATACGTAAACCAGGAAGAGGAAGAGTTTATCACATGTAGGAAGAAAGCAGGGCAGGAAGCTGTACCCAAACTAAGGCTTATGCAAAAATACTGCATATTCAAGGAATAGTGATGTTGAGTGAGGTGGAGCTTAGGGTGCATGGAGCACAGTAAACAAACATGAAGCTGGAGAACAGAGATGGCCCGGATTGTGAAGAGCTTCCTATAAGAAAAATAGCCAGGAGTCAACAGTTTTAGAAACTACAGAGATCAAGTACCATGAAGATGAAAATAAGCTGGTGGGTTTGTACGTAAGGTGATGATCACCTGTTTACCTAATGCAAACATTTTCTGTAGCATGATGAGGGCAGAAACCGTATAGAAGTGGATAGATGTGAGTTTATGAGTGGATCTGACTTTAGAGGAAGTGTGTTTGGTCTTGAAAGAGGAGGGAGATAAAGGTGATTTCTGATTTGATTTTGTTTGCTAAAGATTGGAGGAGATTTGAGCATATTTCGAAGGAAATGGAGAAGAATTGAGATGGATGAGAAAAAGGGTCAGTCACCTGTGAGGAGGGCAGTGTGGACATCCTAAATCTGGGCATGATGGGGAGCATTTTATTGATGCTAAAACAAAGTACATATGTGCTTACTAACATATAGTTTTTTTAAGTTAGGAATAAAAAGGGTAAGTGGCAAATTTCTCTTTCCCAAAGTTAATACATTTCTCTCCATATAGCATTCAGCACATTATTTGCTTGACTTTCCTCCTCAAAACTGGGTGGTGGCAAACCTGTGTTTTAACCTGCATCAACCCCAGATGCTAGTACAATGCTTGCTGAATTTTGAAAATGGCATCAACGAATCATAGCTCAGTTGCTTGCCACGGAAAAGCCTACAGAAGAAGCTTGCTGAAAAGCTATTTGGACAATAAAGGAAGACCGAAGAATAAAGACTAATAATGACAGAGGATCTCTGCCCAGGCAGGGAAAGGGACTAACCAATACTCAGCATTCACGTGTGCTAAATCTTAGCGTTCTCGATTCCTTGGGAAGGAATAATCACAGCGTTAAGGGGAAAGCAGTTAAAATGTGTCTTGAGCGCCTTCTTCATACATCTGTTGCTGCGTCTGCTCCCCGACCTTACAGGCTCGTCCAAGACGAACTGGGGGTGCAGGCGCAGGGAAAGCCGCCCCGCCCCGCCCCGCGCGGCCTGAGCTTCCCGGTTGCCGGGGAGACGCCGCAGCGGCTCTGCGCGCCAGCTCCGGAGTTGCTGCGCCGGCGGCGGCTGCTGAACGGGACCCGCTCGGGGCTTGGGAGCGCTCTGGGCTGCTCGAGACGGCGTCACCGGCGCCCGGTCCGC